AGGGAGTCAATTACTGTGGCTTATGGTGAACCTGTCCATCCCATCATGCAGTTTGATCCTTCTGACTCCAGCTACCTGTATCTAATGACTTCCCACCAGGTAAGACTCCTTTACAGACATACCTTCTCAGTGCCATTAGGTGAGTACGGAGGAATAAACAGTGTTCTGGAGATGAGGTGATTTTTTTAAAAGGTGGTAGAAGTTTGATTCTAATCAATGAACAAGTTATGTTCATGCCTCTTTTATATGATTAATACTTTTGGGGTTTCCGTGGGTGTACAGGTCTATGACAAGAGACTTATTTTTTTTTAATAACACCAAAAATCCTGGAAATAAATGTTTTCGGACTATTTGTCTGCTTTAATAATTTGGTATTAAATACCTTGTTGTTAAAGAGATAAGTCTCTTGGTATAACCTGTACACCCATGAAAACCCTAAAAGTATAAATTATATAAAAGGGGCTTGAACATAACTTGTTCATTGATTAGAATCAAATGCTTTGGGGCAGTGGTTTTCAACCAGTGTGCAGTGGCACCTTGGGGTGCCTAGAATGATGGTCAGGCGTGCTGCAGGCAACACTGGCCTCTGTCCTTCTTTCCTTACCTCCCTCCTCTGATTCCTTCTCATATCTCTGCCTCCCAAAGGCTTGCACAGCTGTTGGTTGCAGCAACCCTGGCTACAAGCTCAGCAGGCGAATGGTGCCTCTGGGGCTGGTCAGAGGGTGCTGGTTGCCAGGAGTTGAGGTGGCCTTGGAATAAGCAAGCAAATGGGCAAGGGAGCCCAACCAGCCAATCTGCCAGCCCTTGCTGTTGGGAATAGACAGACAAGACCCAGGCCCGTGTGGGGCAGCGTGAGGAGGCGCCTCTCTTTGGGGTGGGGGGAGGGAAGCTCAGAGACCAGGGTGGCTGCCCAGAGGACTCTCAAGGAGAGGAGGCTGAGGAAACACCCCACAAGGGAGGGTGTTGAAAAAAGGGTGAGAAGCTGTTAGCTCTGCAGGCAAGAGGTGACACAACTGGGCTCCTGAGCCCCACAGGGGTGCCACAGAAAGAACGTATTTGATCAAGGGAGCCGTGGACTCAAAAAGGTTGAAAACCTCTGCTTTGGGGCATCACAAAAATGCACAACAAAATGTTAACAAGACTTCAAATTTTGTTATGAATATTGATCTCATGGAACGTTAATATTATGTAGGATAATTTCGCTCTGTCTCTTTAAAGGACTTTAAAGTTTTATCTGTGTTGTTCATTCTGCATTTGGATTTTCCTGAAAGCTGAATGATAGTGGTTCCTTCCTTCCTTCTTTCCTTCCTTCCTTCCTTCCTTTCCTATCTATACTGAAAGCAAAATAAGAATTATTTAGGTATCACTGAATTTCTACCACAATTTTGCCTAGAGTTTAAAGTTGTCACTACTGGGGATTTTCTCAGTACACAGTTGTACCTAATTTATTGGATACCACAGTGCATGAGCGAGAACTATTCAGCATATAAAGTGTTCTTTTCTTGTATAATTATTGCCTTCCTGTTGCCTTTAAACTGCCTAGTTGAAGAGAAACTCAAGTTTGGTATGTGCTCCAGTCATCAATGGTGCAAGCTACATTCATTCTTAATCTACTGAAACAGATGTGCAACCAATAATTTTGTACTTGGTATTTAAACTCTCCAGCTGCAATTCCCTACAGAATATCCATATATCACTGTACAGACTCTCACAAGATTCCTTTTGTGATAGTATATCATGCCATTACTGTATCCCATTAGCATTAACAAATCAAAATGGTTTGCCTAGGATAGGCTTTATTATTCCGTCTGCAAGGCATCAGGTGATATAATTTGTCTCTTCTCTGGCTAACTTGGTTCTGTTTCCTTTTCTCCAGAGGTATTTAGCATTGGGGAAATTTGTTTAGGCAAGGTAAGAGGTGTTCCGAACAATATGTCAAAAGTTTCACTTAATCTACACAAGCCAGAGCTATGGTTTGAAATTACATAATGTACCAGCCTTGCTGAAGTTATGCAGGTTTGGGTTGGGTCAAGTAACGCTGAATAGGAGAAGAAAAAGAAGAGTTTGGATTTGATATCCCACTTTATCACAACCCGAAGGAGTCTCAAAGCAGCTAACATTCTCCTTTCCCTTCCTCCCCCACAACAAACACTCTGTGAGGTGAGTGGGGCTGAGAGACTTCAGAGAAGTGTGACTAGCCCAAGGTCACCCAGCAGCTGCATGTGGGGGAGCGGAGACGCGAACCCGGTTCCCCAGATTACGAGTCTATTGCTCTTAACCACTACACCACACTTAACCACTACACCACACCACACATAGGTAGCACTATGCATGCCACTATCATGTTCTATTGAAGAAAGGTGGAACATAAATATAACTAATAAAAAATGAAGAGGAAAACTCAACTTGTTCTTTATGAATGTTAGTCCTTGAAAACATGCCTTTCTCTTGTCATTTGCTAGCATAGCATATGCTATCCGTTGGTTAGAGAAATCCCACAGCCTGCAGAATTCTCTGTTTGAGAGGTTTCACTGTGCTAACATCACTTATCACTATCTCATATCAGCTGCTGCTATCAGTGTGCGATTATACCATCCTGAAGCATTATCACCACCATACAGTGGCAGCAATATCCAAATTGTGTGTGGGTCCCCCCCCCCATATTGTCCTAGCATACCATAGGTTCTGGTTGAGTTATGTGTTAAATTTCACAAGAAAGCAAATGGAATTATGGCTGTTGTTGAGAACCATGATTTTGGATGTGATCTGAGGAGAAGCCAGAACAATGTAAAAACAATTCTTGTGGAAGTGTAAGAGGTTTATTTATGTCCCTTTTGAGTAGGTTTAAATCAAGCATTTGAAGGGTGATGTGATCTCTATGTCAGATCACTCTGGGTATTCTAGCTATTACCGTTAGAATGTTGCACACAGAACCTGCACCAGATAGTGGGCAGAGGTATTCTTTGTAATTGCAAAATGGCATTGAAATTGTTGTTGTTGTTGTTTATTAAATTTCTCTAGCACCCTTTAGCATGGAGGGCTAAGATGCTGGAACTATTTTTCACTGTCTTCTCTTCATATGGTATTTTATAATGGTTTTGAATATCTTGTCACTCAAGAGGCCACTAGTGAAATTATATCGCAGTGTTGCTTCATCCAAATAACTTTCAGCCAAATTATATATTTATTTAAACTCTTATATGCTGCTTTATCTTATGCTGCTTTATCTTATGCAGACCTTAAAGCAGTTTTCATAAAAGTGTACATAAACAACAAGAAGATCAATAAAATATCATAAAATACATAGTACATAGTAATTCATAACAATCTCATTCCACTGAACAATAGCATGAGAAAGAACAAAAAAAAATTGGGGGGGGATAGATTTAACCTCCAAAGTATTAAAAACAGATGAGTTTTCACCAACAGGTGAAAACCCATTAATGTTGTGGTCATTTGTGCTTCCAAGGGGAGGGAGTTTCGTAATTCCATCCCCCCCCCCGCCCCCCGAGATGGCCCACTTCCAAGTCATCACATAACAAGCAACCCTCTGAACCTCTGGTAAGGCTCCCACTGCCTATCTTTGGGCTCAGGATGGGGACAGCCATTCTGTTAAGTACCTAGGTACCAATTTGTGTATATTTAAAGTTGGCATTTTGAAATGGACTTTGTCACATAGAGGCAACCAGTGCACATCCCACAAAAATATGATGATGGAAGTGATTATAAGGATGTTCTCTAACCTACTCTTCCATCCCAGACTGAGGAAGATAGGTATTACATGATACTTCACCAAAGTCCGGCTGTGCAACCAATCTGGCTAAATCCTGAACCAGATCATGCTGATTTGTGCCTGGTACAAGTTGGCTTGAAGCAACTATACATTGCTACAGAGTCGGCCAGGTGGAGCCATATTGATTTGTAGCAATTTGTGCTGATCCAGAGTTTAAAACATGCTCCAAAAAAAGGTAGATAGACTGTCTCTGAAGTATTGCATTTTCTAATTACAAGATTAGGATTTCTCAGTCCAGATTAGGTCGGATCAGGTCTGGATAGATTTCTGCCAAACCAGGGAGGGATCAGGGTAACTTTACACCAGATATCCCCAAACTCAGCCCTCCAGATGTTTGGGGACTACAACTCCCATCATCCCTAGCTAACAGGACCAATGGACAGGGGTGATGGGAATTGTAGTCCCGAAACATCTGGAGGGTCGAGTTTGGGAGTGCCTGCTTTACACAGACTTACATGGAATGCTGGTCAGTATTATTGGCAGCAGCATTCTGCACTATCCAATGTTTTTGTTTTTCACCTTTCAACAAAAACTTCCAGAGCAGTTTACATAAAGAAATACAGAAACAATCAAATTAGAAATAAAACAGCCTAGGAGTCATAACAACAGAAGAACTAAAAGGCATTGAATTGATCCTGCAACTTTCTTAAGGATGCCGTTTTCAGTAATAAGAAATCTAGACTTTTTTCTTGTCAGGCATCTTGACAATCTTCTCTTGTTCAGATCTTAATGTTTTGCATATAGAAGATAAATACAATCTTTTAAGTAAAAACGTATAGATTTATTGCCATACTCATCCAAAATTCCTCAACTGGGAAACAGCACTGGAATAGAATATTTAAAACAACAGAAGAACACACTGAACTGTCACTGCCATTTCCATCTTAGATGCTTCTACAGAAACTTAGCCCACAGAAATGATCTTGCAAGACTTCTCAGAATTCCTCTGCTCCGTTTTTTTAATGAGTTTCCAGGAATGGGGATTTCTTAGATTAAATACAGAGCTGCTCCAGGGAAGTGGGGAGGCTAAATTTGGCCGACTTAGCTTAGCTGGAGGTCATCCTTTTAATGCAGTACCTGTACCAACAGCAGCAGCCCCGAGTGTCGCTCAGGCACCAGACAACAGCTAGCTGGCATCTTCATGCTCACCCAGAAGCCCCTTTGCAGGGAGTCACTGAGCCTATAAAACTTTAAAAAATTGCTTAGCGTGGGCAACACATAAGGTAAGCTTGGGATGATACGGAGAAGAATTGCATGGCCTTTGTGCAAGAAGGACACATAAATTTGTGAAACATTCCATATTTTTCAAGCTAGTAGTCAGAGTGCTCTCTACTGAGCACACAGTGAATGGGTAAGAGTTGCACTTATGAAGCTGCTGTCTACTATAGATGTAAGGAGGTTAGAGAGGGAGATTGCAGGCTAAGGATTAGGAGGAAGACGGAAAAGAAAGTTAAAATGTTTTAGTCAATATTAGTGATGTTCTATATTTCTTAAAACAAAGTTAAAATGTTATGAGACATGAATAACGGGTGGACGTTTCACTTGGTGAGAGTAAGCACTTCCATTACTTGATCTTAGAGTAAAGATTTCGGTTATAAATCCACCTGTGTTTAGGATTGTTCTACGTGATACATAAAGTTTAAATCTCAGTATTTTCAAAGGGGTGAGGTGGCGGCAGCAGGTGGAGGGGAGATTGTAGTGAAACACAAAAGAGAAGACTTGACGCTTACTCCTTCCTGGGTGGGTGCCTGTTGTGGCCTCTCGCACTCGGCCGCCATCCCCGGGCAATGAGAACGGAGCACACATGGCTGAGCGGCCATTAGGGAAATTCCTCCAGCCGCCTGGACATCCGACTGAAGTTCCAGCCTGCTGCAGCAATGGGCCAATCAGTGGCCTCAAATGGGCCAATCAGTGGCCTCCCTAGTGGGTGTGCCTCACAGGCTGATAGGGCATTGGCTGCACGCCTGCCCTTGGCGAGGCATAAAAGCCGGCAGTGCAAAACACAAAAGAGAAGAATGCACTTGTCTCCTGATTCACCCTAGGGCCCATACTCTCTACACATGACCCTGGGAATAACCAATCACTCATTTATTTATGAAACCTTGTATAAATCTGGTTGTAGGTGTAAGAGAGCATTCCCACCTGGGAATAGCACACCGGAGAGAAGGCTTTCTCCTAGGAGATCAGATTTGGACCCAAGTGATGAATTTATAGCTCATTAGCTTGTTCTGGGGCCTGTCTCTAAAAACTGCTAGGATTGCTAACACTTTCTCCTTAAAGGTCTCTTGCAGCAGAGTGTTCTATCACGATGTATGCTAATAGTTAAAGACCTCTGTGGTGGCAGTAACCTATGACATAAAACAATAATGTTAATAAACTGTGGTTTCCTTCTTTCCTATTAACAAACTGGTACCTCTCTGAAAGCTTTTTTAAATAAAAAATATTACTCTCTTGGACTTTTGTTATTATGCAGATAGCCCGTGTGAAAGTAGCTGCCTGTGATCAATATACCACATGCACAGAGTGCTTGGCTGCTGCCGATGCTTACTGTGGATGGTGCACCTTGGAGACCAGGTGGGTATTTTTGTACACTACATGCCTCTTAGTAATAGGCTGCTCTGTGCAGAAAATAATTGTCTGTTGTTGAGGGAAATCACTAGTCTTTTTTATTTCATTACTCTGCTTCTGCTCTTTTGACAAGATTAGGTTGTTTGATAGCAGTCTTCAAAAGTCATTTCTAATTTTAATAGCTCATTTTGAAGAAATCATTGCCATGGCTGAAACCTAAGCATTCAAAAGCCATTTAAAAAATATTTTGTAAACAAGGTACACTTTTCACAAGTGTAATTTCATAATTCATAATTCAAACACATAATTGTTTATGGAAAAAATTAATAATACTTTACAAAATAAACATTATGAGATGCTGAGTTTGACAAGAATAAAAAGCATCTCTAATTAAAATCAGTATAGAAGTGCTTTGTCATCTGTACTTCTATTATTGTACCATAAAATAAAAGATCTATGAAGAGACCTTTCAAGGTCCTTTTCAAGTGGCTTCCATTAAGCAGGGGACCAAAATCCTAGGAACATTTCTTTGATAACACATATACCTGAAAATTAAGATTATTTTAAAACATGTTGCTAGGTAATATTTCGAAGGGACAACATAGGACTAAATGGCCGAGTGTTCTTTCTTTTTTCCTTTGTCAAATACAATGTCCACTGTAACCATGGGATTCAAGAGTGAAGCTAACAGGATTACACCACCCCTTGGGAAAATGATAAGAGTATTTTACAACTGAATATTGTTGGTCTTATTCTGAGCACAGTACCTACAATCAGGTCATGTGCAATCTGTAGTCTTGATGATAATAATATATATTTTTTAAGTAAGTTTGTAAGCTATAGGTCTTGAAAACATGAAATCAGCATCCCCCGCCCCGAGAACTGAACTAATGGTCCCAAGTTAATGGTTTAGCAGAGGGAGCAAGGTCAGCCATAGGCTATATATTACGGGCAATCACCATGTCCCAGAACAACATATCCCCATAAAACCCTGCAATTCTCTAAGCTGTAAAATAGTCTGATGAACAAGAATAAGCTAGATAGCTCTGTCCTACTTGCCAAACATTAGATCAAAGTTTTTTCCTAAGGCTGTGCAGAAGGACATGGGAGGGAGAGTGCCTGCCTTGCCCATCAGAGCATGTGTGGAAAGAATTTGCCTCCAGCACTGAAAGGAAGATCTCTAGAAGGTTCTGTAGGTGGAGAACCTAATCATGCAACTTCACGGACGACCACTTGAAGAATGTCAATTGGAGATTAGCAACCGCTCTTTATTTTTACTGCCACATACTTATGTGCGGTTTTGAATGGTTCAAAAACTGGCCAAGCTCACCCAACTTCACATAGGTTGCTAGTTTGCCATGTCATAGGAACATAAGAAGTTGCCATCTACTGAGTGAGACGATTGGCCCATCTGGTTCAGTATATTCTTCACTGATTGGCACCAGCTCTCCAGGGTTTCAGGCAAGAGTCTCTCCCACTTGGGGATTGAACTTCGGACCTTCTGCATGCCAAGCCTAGATGCTCTACCGCTGAGCTATGGCACTTCCCCTTCAGGAGTAATGCTACAACTAATAAGAATCCTGCCGCTCTCTCAAGCCTTTCCTAACTCAATCATAGGAGCAAAAGACTAAACAGAAGTATTTATAGGAAACAAGCCAGAACATAGTAAAGATAACCAAGGCAGAACAATCAATTTAGTTTGCTGGAACAATATATTTATTTTAAGGGAAAATCTGATAAAACAGAAATAGAACATGCAGGGGAGGGAGAGAAAGTAACTTTCATGGCTAGCTGATACACTGTCTCCTCTGAGTCTGCTAAGCCAACATAGTTCAAAAGCTTAATTTCTGGTTTCCATGGCTTTTTGAGTCGATTTTTCAGCATCAGATACAGAAAAAGGGTATGTGGGAAAACACAAGGAAAGCATAAGGTGTAAAGTATCTCTCAATTTTGTCTCTTGTGCACTTGGGTGTTGAAGCTAAAATGTTTATATCATGGAGATCATGTTGATTATATAAAATGGATGCTAGCGCAGTGAAAACTATGAGGAGGGTTGCAGTTCTCCCGGCAACATTATTAATAATTTTGAGGGTCTGGGGTCATGACTGTTTTTTAATTGTTTTAGGTGTTCCCTGCAACATGAGTGCGCTAATTCTTCTGAACCCAATTTCTGGATAAGTGCCAGCGAAGGAGTGCAGCAGTGTCCGTCAATGACCATACTGCCCTCAGAAATAAACATTGAGAAGGAGAACAAAGTATGTCAAATGAGAATTGCACTGTTTGTTGATATTGTGTCATAAGCAGCGGGATTTATTCTAAACCCTTCTAAGTGGAACCTGCAAAAAAATATAAAAATGACTTGGTGTGATGCCCAGGGTTCCAAACAGCCAGGAAACACCACTCCTTTCCCTCTCTTCCCCAATTTTCTATCCACACTTCAACCGTCAGCATCCCGCTGCCACTGAGCATGCTCAGTCCCCATTGGGCTGTTTTGGAGGGTCTGCCCCATTAGGCTCCCCCTCCCCCAAGACTTTTGTACTTTGCAAACTTTTGGTTTTCCTGAGCCTGCAGATACAACCCTCTTGTGGGTGGGTTGTGCTGTTTTGGTTGCATAATGACCCAAGCCACCTCTGAGCTTCAGAAATTATGAGGGAAAGTAGGACCTGCAGCAAAACACTGCAATGCATAGAGTGCTTTGGTTCACTATTCCAGCCAGCCATGCCCTCTTTCAGAATACTTCCATTTTATCCTGGTTTCCTTTTCTTCTCCACAACAGCATTCCGTGGCGACTGAGTATGCTCCACCCTCATGAAACTGTTTCACCCCTTTTTTTCTCCCTCAGGTATTTTCCATAAATACTTTTATCTACACCTGTAAACCATGGGGTTTCCACAAGCCTGCAGGAACCATAATCACACCAGCAACTGAGTTTGCTATTATTAGAAGAACAGAACTTTGCAATCTGACTTTTATGTATGCTGGTAGGCATACATCACTTGGCTTTGTTGTTACCAGACTTCAGGTGCAGCCAGGGGCATCTTCAACTGTGTGCATTTTAAATAGATGTCACCAGTGGTGCTCTCCAGCAAAAATACTGCAGCTTGTTCTTTCATTCTGTACCCCTCCCCATTTTTGTCACTTTCCGCCCCCGCCACCATCAGTCTGTCAGTGTTCCATGCACGTTGAGCATACTGAGTCCTCCGTTTCTTTCCTCCTATGTTTTTTCTTCATTTTGGGAAATTTTGGGGGGTTTTTTTGTGAGAGGCACCCATCCTCTCACAGTATCCAACCTACATGAAATTATTTGTTTTATCCATGAGTTTCCATGGTTTCTCTTTGCTACCGTATTGGCCCAAACATAAGCCTTTTTTTCCAAATTCCGACCATGAAAAGTTAAAGTGCATCTTAAATTCGTGACCTTACAAAAATTGGCTTTTATCGCTGCTGAAACACACATACGGTAAAACGGAACGGGTGTGAATGCCTGTGGAATTTTAAGGGAGCGGCTTATATTCGGGTATTGTATTTTTTTCTTTCCCCCCCTTGAACTTTAAAGGTGCAGCTTATATTCAGGTGCAGCTTATATTTGGGCCAATACGGTACATCCTTGGGGAGATTTAAAAAAAAGGCTTCTCAGTATGAACCAGGATGTGACCTTTCTAGACAATGTGATGATTCTATCCTTTATGGGTTGTATCGGACTAAGTGAAACTCAGAGCACACCCCCATGGAAATCAA